AACCCCTTTGAAATATATGTAAATTGGATAGAACAAAATCACACGATTTAAGAAGACAAAATTAAAATTGATATTAATTATAATTACAAGCACGAAACGAGTAATTTAAAATTAAAACGTCCCCCCCCTATAATTAGCCTGCTAATCTTTTTTGCGAACAGGTGACTTTGACAGTCTTCAAATAAAAATAATGTAATTTGGACTCTCATATAATACAGTATCGATTCAAGAAATCACTTGTTATAAAGATTGTCGATGCTGCATAAAGATATTTTTTTCGCAGAAAAGTTTTTAGGCTACAGAGGAGAAAGCATTCTCGTTGACAATTGTTCGATTAAAAAAACACAAAAAACCCAACAACAAACATAAGCAACAACAAACAAACAAAAAAACCCTCAAAATGTAAGGGCAATATATATAAATCTAGGCCCATACACCTTTAGAGTTTAGAGAATGTAATTTAATGTTCTCTTTATTTAACATGGCTTAAAATTATAAGGGGGATATATATGTCGCAGCTATTATTTACTCCTAAGAAGAGATAGTATATGTGAGGCAGCGTGGTGGAATCAGGCTCTCGTCAAAATCACCAAAGTGAAGAAACTTGCATTTTCTCGCAGGTTTGTGAATTTTTATGAAATTTTTGTATTTGGGCTCAACATCTTTCATGCTCATTAAAGAACTCATTTCTGTCTGGATTTTTCGAAAAACGTTGTATCAAAGGCACAAATAATGTAAATTTTCAGTTACCACGGAGTCTTAAGCTAAGGAAATAACAAATCTTTGGCGGCCGTTTTCTCACTAATTTCACCTCTGAAAACAGGTGACCCCCACCTCCTTCTATCGCAAATATCTCGATTTGCATTCAAAATAAATGGATATTTTTTTCTTCCAAATAAAGACAAGTGAACAAGCTTTAAGATGATACCAATAACTCTACATGCCCAAAAATTGACGAGAGCCTGATTCCAACACCCTGCCTCACATATTATTATGCTGGCCTTTATTATTATAATACAGACGTAGATCTAACCATAGGCTTAATATACATGTTATACGTTTGGACTTAGGTGTAGATCTAATAAATAATATATTAATATAATATATATAATATAATTGTGTGTGC